TCAAATTAAAATGTTTTGGCCCAAAACACAGACCTTTATAATGATTTTCATTATTATTATTCTTTTTTTTATTTTTACATTTTTGATTTCCTTTTTTTGATTTGGTGTGAAATTAGATGTAATGTATATGCGAGATTTGCCCAATTATAAGAGAGATGCGGTCTCCTCACCTGAGATTTGGGCAGCAGGAGGGGTTTGTTGGCTTCATTGCCAAAGAACGGAGAGTGATAGAGCTGCAGGAAGACGAAGCTGCCGACAGAAAGAGGAGCAAAGGTCAGGCTGAACCTCCACGCAAACACAAGTGCACACCGCACAGCTTTCATCTGCCTACACGCAACTCACCTCATCACACAGGAAAATATCACAGCTAAAGGTGAAGTTTGGAGAGGATAAGCGCTCGATCGGGAGAAGTGTCCCGAAACGCTCTCCAGACCTCATGAGACCCATTAAATCTGTATCTGAGGATACAACTCCAGACTTAACAGAAATCTTGCCTTGACAATATCAACGGAAAACATGTGCTGCACAGCACTGCTAACAATATGAGCAGACATATTTAGGATGGATACAGTAAAGTAACCAGAAGTGCTGAAAGCATCTCAATAATGATGCCAGACAGATTTACATTTCATATTTATGATCAGCCACTTATGGAATCGGTTTCTGTTTATATATACTAATATATACACACACACACAAAGTTATAAAACATATTGTTAGCCATATATATATTTTCTGCTACTTTTTTGTCTTACTTTTGTCTCTTTTTATCCAAACAAACATACTTTTTGTAAGCAAAACTAATTATTACTAGTCAGCTGTTTAAAAAAAAACTTTCTATATATTAATTATACAGATAAACAGAGAGAGAATTGATATATAGAAAATGTTCACATAAAACATTTTATATCATTTAAAATAAAATAGAATATAGAATATATTATAGAACTATATAATTATTTTATTAGCATATACAGAGAGAAAAAGAGTATTAAACATTACTTGTTCTCATGCAACCATTATGCAACTCACATATACGTATATATATATATATATATATATATGCATTTAACATAGCTACAGTAAAGGGGAACACTTAATGAATAAGTGTTCAATTTCTGTTAAATAATGAAACACTTTTATGACAGTTTTACTGTGCTTTTTGACAGCTCCTGTCCACATCTGCCTTTGCTGCATGGAAAACAGAAGCAGGACATTCATAACTATGTTCCACTAAAGAAACTACTCCTTTTATGCCTCTATTCATACAGCACGTGTTTTTTGAGTGATGGGGCCCTCAATCCTTATTAGGAAGTAATTGTGGCTTTATCAAAACAGACATGCTATGTATCGAACAGCAATCTAAACACAACTGCAAAAAAGCATTGTGAACCGTTTCGAGAAACAGAAAGACAACAGCTCTTAGTGTCTGACTGCACCCCATGAAACGAGACACATACGGCCCGTGACGGAGGAGAAAACACTTTCAGGAAACTCACTAGGTTTTCCTGCGCTTCTGTCTATAAATAGCGAGTCTATCGATCGTGCGACTCCAGCAGCACTGAACCTCACAAAGACGGATGGCAGTAATTTACACGTAATTCCAATACAAGGCCACAATTTGAAAGCGCTTAACTCAGAAAGAGCCTCACTTCACAAAATGAGTCGAGCGAGCGAAGGAGGCAGGATGATGTCATGTCAACAGGGGTGACAGATGATGACAGCAATATCATTACTCTCCATATAATGCCTTGCTTTTCCTAGAAAATGGAGTGCTCGGTGCAGTGGGATCAAAGACATTACAGGTGCGTTAACAATCACAGCCACACTTTCCGCCATCCATTACACAACGGAGTCAGCGCTCGCCGTCACGGATTATAGGGCTGAGCCATAAAACGATATCATATTGAGTCGCGATAAGATTTATGCCGATAAGCTCTTGACATTTTTACTCAATATGGATTAATCTAAAAGCAGAAATAAATGCGGCAACAGCCAGTCAGTGCTTCTTGCTAATAGGCTAACTATTATAAGGTTTTTATCATTTAATTTGAGAAAAACTACCGTCAAAAACACACTGAAAGACCTTCACAACAACCCGTCAAAATAAGAGTATAGTTTAACTTGAAGAAATTATGACAGAAATATATTACTATTGTATTCTAAAATGTAATATTCAAGTAATAATAATATTTTTGAAGAATATCATACAACTTTTTCATTAATCTATTCAGTTATACAATGCTATTGTGCAGGCTCTTGAAAATAAATAAAAATGCAATGTTTTGTTGTAATTATGTTTTCATTTCATTACATTTTGAAAGACGTTAATGTTTTATTAATTCATTTAATTAGACACCTTTTTATGATAAATTTGTATTGAAACATAAAACACAGAATCCAGGAAAAAACATAAAATGGAAAACAGAATTTAGGGGAAAATTAAACCGATTTCATTGGTGCCCTAAATTAAAAAGGTTTAACTGTGAACAAATTATCTTTACATTCATTCTCAAGGTTTAACAAACATGTGGAAAGCATTTCCTTTCCCATTATTGGTAAATTAAAATCGTGATATTGTATGATATGGAAAAAAAATATTGTGTTAATATATTTGGCCATGTCGCCCAGCCTTAATAGACTGTTGATAGTTGTAGTTTTGATAAGAACTGATACACCATTGCACAGGAGGCTTTTACCTTACGTTATTTTATACGAATTGTCCCATCGTGCACATCTTAATGAACAACATCTGCTAAAAGTAAGATGCAATCAAAAGACATGTTTCCAAAAGACCTTGATGCAATGATAAAAATCTTTAGGGACTTTACAACGTGTGAGTAATAAATAATAAATCTTGGTTAGGAACATGTTGTTCTCATATTATGTTTATGGTGTTATTGAGGCTTATCTAGTATCAAATATGCTGATTTGCTGCTCAAGAAACATGATTATTATCAATGTTAAAAACAGTTGTTCTGCTTCACATTTTTGTGGAAATCCTGATAAGTTTTTTTCAGGATTCTTTGATAAAAGAAATGTTTAAAAGAACAGTATTTATTTGAAATACAAATATTTTGTAAATGCCTTTATGGTCACTTTTGATAAATTTAATGCATCCTTGCTGGAAAAAAATCAAAATAAAAAAATAATAATAATCTTACTGACTTACTGAACAGTACTGTATTTATAACTGATAAGGTGTTGATATCATCATGAAGTCCTAACTTTTATAATACATTTAACATGCTTTTGCATCCTTTTTGAAGCTTGAAAACTTTAGTTTGCGTTCAGTGTAATTGCATGAAAAACAAACTTTCTAATGCGTATAAAGGAAGGCGGAATACGAGTTTGTACTTCAAGTTACCTGGGACTGAGTCCTGAGCTCTTCTCTATGTTGGATGGTCCTCCTCGGTTGTGGTACGAGTCTCGGTCCATCTTCCTCTCCCTGCGGGACGAGGGTGCGGACACTGAGATGGTGTGTCCGCGGGGTCTGTGTCCGGCGGGAGACAGGGGTCCCGGCTGAGCCGTGGGAAACTCCAACCTCATCCTGGAGGTGGAGGACGAGGAGACGGAGACGCTAGCGCTGGAGCTGGACGGGCCGGCTGATATTACGCTCTCTCCCGGCCAGGCGCTTTCACCCGAGGCCTCTCTCTCGTTGGCCTGGACCGTCGGGATCCTGGAGCTCAGCAGGTCTCCGCCGGAGGCGCTATGGGCCGCAGCCTTGGTGAAGGCCTCGGGGAGAGTCTGCAGCTCCGGGGACGAGCTCGATTTGCTCAGGGTGGTGGCCTGAGATAATGACACGTCAGTCTCTTGATGTCCCGGGGTGGAGAGGGCCGGCAGAGGCTGATCGATGGGGATACCGCCCTCACTCACCTCCTCCAGAGTCGACTTCTCATCGTCCTGACTGGAGGTTGAGGAGGACTTGAGGAGAGAAGAGACAAAAGAAATTACATGAATCAGTCTGTGATTTATCAATGCCAATAAAATAAATATACTGGCTGATTGATTGGCCTGGCTGATATATTAGTCCAGTGGTTCCCAACCCTGGTCCTGGAGGCACCCCAACA